CCTGATTTCTAAACCAAGCGAGACCGTATTTTTTTCCCATTTATACAAAGTAAAGTACTTGTATCAACGTTCGAATATCTGATAGACGGAATTTTTTTCACTTCTAGCTGATCATAATGGGCCAGTTGATGGCGGTCACGCCCATACGGGCGATGGGCATGACGTCAATTCGGGCTACAACGGCCACGAGGCTTATCAGAATGACACAGGTGTTCATTACTTGAAAAGTTTCTCCTCAGCTTTTCAGTGTTGAAAACTTTTGCCTCTTTCATTCTCCCTTCCTATGTTTCTTGATCACTAATCATATGCATAAAGTACTTTATAAGCTGCATTTTCTAGTAGTGGCTTACATTTGAGTTGACCTAAAGTTCTGCGAAGACTGGGCGAGTGCATTTTTATAGGTGATCTCATAGAGTTCTTTCTTCAGGGAATCATGATGGAGCTCATGGATGGGGCGAGCATGGTGAAGGATACGATGGGAGTCAAGGCGGATATGACGAACATCATGGGTATGATAACTATGGCGGTGGATATGAGGATGGCTATCAAGGACCTCCTGGCGATGCTTCCAGAGGAAGAGGCATGGCACGGTGAGAAAATTTCAATTTCAATGTCAACATGGTCGGCAGTTAACTATTTCTTTTACAAAAATATTGCTTCTTCACGTATAGAGCGCCATGACCTGGCGAACTACTACGTGTAATCAAGTTAGGAATCAAGTCGAACTTGTAAAAATACTCCTGTCAGAGCAATCTCATTGAAATCTATTTTTTGTGCGGCCATCTCCACCACGTTGCAGATCTCAAACGATACCATCTTTCGAGCATTAAATTTAGGACATCGAGGGCAAATAGATTCTAGTTTGATGAGTTTTGCGCTATGGTACTATTTTCACTCATTAGGCTAATCAAAGCTCTATGTTGGAGTAAATCGTTTTGAGTTGTATGTATAGCTAAAATCCTTTTGAAAATTACGGATATTTGCAAGTTTCACCGCTATCTCTGTTGCGCAGAGTAGAGGTTGGACTTGTGTAAGTGTTTCCAGTTTGCTTGTCAGCTCTGCTCAAGTTGCCTGCATGGGATGCGATAGCATTTCCATTATTTCTTCGCACTCTGCGGTGACATCATTCGAAGGAATCTATCTAATATACTCAGACACTCGCACC